TATATATATAATCATTGGTATTGACTATATATATATAATCAGCTCCAGGAAAGAATATTATATAAAATTCTAGTGTTAAATCAATAAAAAGATAAATAATGCAAAGATTCCACTGTTATATAAAGTTCTGATCATATTGTTTAATTAAATTTATATTTTGCTATTTAATCGTTATTATTATATGTTTACCACTTGAATTAATTAAAATGTAACATTAAGGTTGTTAGATTCAAATGGAAGAATACACTAGTCAACAAAATGTCTTATAATATATATACTATATGAATTTTTCTAAGCAAATCAGTATTTTTTATTCGATAACAGTAATTTGCGATAGACGCGCCACAGAACCAATTAGAATTGGGTCTAAATAATATAAGCCTGAAACAAACTATCGTAATATACTGTTCTATGGGGGGGGGGGGAATTTGTTAAGATTTACATTTGGCGAAAACTTTCGAAATTCTCGAATACTTTTGATAATTATTAAATTTAGGCACAACATGCAAAATAAAGTCATTGAATTACCCATGGGATTTGTAAGTCCATGTAAAGAATAAGCCAAAACTACTTGTATTTTGAGACCAAACATTTCTGGAATTTTTGTAACCATGAAAAGATATCATCAGCTATATTTGTTACCATGACCTTTTCCGTCCTGCAAAATATCTAGGAATCGCTTATTTAGATGCGGTAATGTTGCGTGTATTGTAGGATGAAGTCTATAATTACTTCGATGAAAAAGCATGTCCTGTCGATATCTTGACTCGAACAAGAAAGACGTTCCAGTAAATTGGGTAAACAGATCAGCGCATGCCAGCCAAATGAACATTCAAAAGAAGAAAAAAAAATGTTTGCTGCTATCGATTAGAGATTATGTTCTTTGATTATGTTCTTTGTTGTCTTCATAATTATTCTATCGGAAATTGGCGCTGGTTGTTAACTCGGAAGAAATCATGATTAAGCTGCGAAAGTATATAACGAAAAATGGATGCCTATTCTTTCTTACTCTATTTGAACTTTTCAGATTATTCCAAGAATAGTGGTAAGGTTGAAATATGCTTATTTTTTACTGTGGATGCTTGCAAGAAAGGTACTCGAAGTGTCCATCGGGCTGTTCTTATTATATTTACTTATTTATTTTCTGTTTAATAAATAATTTCCAAAATTTTGTTTGAAGTAATAACTAATTTGTAAACTATAAAAAAATTAATATTTTTACCTTTAAGAAGCCTCTACACGAGCCATCTAGGATTTTAGGTCAAATTTTCGAATTTCGTTTTCTTCTTCTTATTTATCTTTTATTTATTTTGACTTAAGACACTTTTGATTACAGTGTGTTCGATAGCTAATAGCTTTCAAAAGAGGGAGGAAATAAAGGGATCGCCTTATTAGATCAGAAGAAATAGAGCTCTATAATTTTTAGACCTTCTCTATGAGATTTCCTCAACACATTAAAGCAATAAAAATCTGTGATTTGTGGTTTTGAGTCAATAATGTAATACTACACATTTGTCAATTTTTATTTTTTTTTTAAATTTAATTTCATTATTAAAACTAATCAAAACTGTTTAAACTGATAAAAACAGGTTTGGATGATTCTTATAACGTAAATTGTACAAAAATAAGATATTTACTTTGATCTTAACCAGAAAACGATCAATCTTTAATTCAGTACACCCAGAGGTTTAATTTGTTATGGGAACATGGAAGACTTTGTGATCCGACAAATTCAACGTGCACCAGTCACTATTACGGCCGGTTGGATTTGAACTCCCATCAGGAACATGAGTCCACCTCCCTGCCAACCAGGCTATCCCGGCCCAATTAAAAGGATGAAAAGCATATTTAGAATTTTCCCTCCCTGTCTCCAGACCTTCGACAGTTGAGTTCGGAATGCTTTGCCATCACATGATGTTAGAAAACCAAAACATGAACCTACATTTTTATTTGTCCTCTTGAACTATTTTTAAGAACTGAACTGCAGTGAAAATGATCGTTTGAATTTTGTTTAATATTTAGAACAAGGAATTTATGTTTAATTTTTAATAAGGTTTTTTCTTTATTTGAAAGTAATGTGTGATTGTCATTAAATGTTTTTTTATTAAATTTGTGCATAATTTAGGTATTATATCAATATAAACATCAAGACAAAGAATTATTCAGCATTTTGTTAGAAACCGGACTTTTTTTTATTCAAATTTGTGAAAATAGTTTATTTTTGACCTAAAAAAGCGAGTATTTTTAACGAAGTTACATTAATAAGTATTAAAATATGTATTACACATAAAATAATGTTTTTTTTTAAAATAATATTCTACTTTTATAACTGCTGTGAGTCTGAAACTGTTATTCATGACTGTTTGGTCAAGTTTTGCCTATCTTTAGCCAGCGCCCTCTATGCTAGTTCTGAAAATAACGCTAAGCGTCAAAGACAGTTTTGTGAAACTAAAAATCTTTTGCGATCTAATTATTTAATATTTAAAAAGTAATTCTAACACTGCATTATCTAGAGCTAGACTCATAAAAATTTGCGAAATTTGAAAAATTATTCATTGATTTTGATTATTATCATTTAAACAAAAATATCTCACCAAATAGGCGACTTTTTAAATAAATTTAATGACTTTAGAACGAACTATTAACTTAATTTTTAATGTTCAGATCATTTCGTCCGTCAATATAGTATTTATAATTTAAAATTATAGTTTTGCCTGTAGTTATATGGCACCTAACTGTAACATTTTTATTTTCCTTGGTGAAAAAGTTTTGAAAAACACCGCTATTACGTCTTCCACTTTGAAACTTCATTATTTTGAGTATCACATTTAAGTACTTCTGTATATTTCTACATTTAATTATTATTTTTTAACTGTAATATGGAATGTAATAATTTATTTGCTTTTGAT